GAGTCGCTGTGAATAAGTTACGTGCTTGTGTTCCAACTCCACTGATGATTCCAGAGAACATGTATTTCAAAATAGAAAACATTACAGCTCATAATATGAAGTAAGACGGCTTTTAACTAGCATTAACTAACATTAACATTAGCTAACTAGCTCACTAGCACAGCTATGGCCGCGTCCCCAACCACACACTTCTGTACTTCACATACTACACTAATAAGTGCACTGTGTGCACTAATATGCGATATTTTTACACACTACTTAGTGTGCTAGTATGTGGTTTGGGACAGGGCATATCTTACTGAAATGAATCTTCATCCAGTGAGCCGTTGTGTTTCCTTCTCAGATGCTCCAGCATGGATGTGCTCCCATGCCAGCTAAGGTCAGCTTTACAAACAGCACAACTACAATCTTTTTTCTGAGTTTAGCATGAAATGCTCCCACACTTTTAAGGATTTTGTTCTTGAGGCTGACATCGCGCTTTTGTTAACTTTCCAGTAAGCGGTAATGTCAAAAATGACATCACCAACTAATCGACTACTAAATTAGTTGCCAACTAATTTGGTCATCGATTTTAGTCGTGAGTTGAATAACCGTTACACCCCTACTGCTAACACTGTGCACTGAATCTAAAGCAGGCAGTGATGTAAACAGTAGGGCAGTATAGTCTCTCTACAGCCTATCTTACAGAACAAATCACCTTATTATCGTTTAGACTTTTTTTATGCCTCTTTACGTGCCCTACGTGCGTTATTTCTAAATATTTATTTTCTAACGTAATGTTGACGGAACGCAAAAGGCGGAACTTGGAAGTGGGAAAGTGCAGCGCCCGGACAGTCTGTGGCGGCATATAACAAAAACACTACTGGATGAGCGAGAAATCCGACCGGCTCCCTCTGCATTAAAAGCCAGGTTAGGTCAGGAGTCAAACCCAAATGATAAGAGCCATTTTGTCCTTTCAACAAAAATCAAACCACCTTGGGAGCCGCAAAATTTAATGTCCAGTATGTCTCAGTATGTCCTAATGTCCTAGTATAGGCTAAACAATATAAACGAAAATGCTGACTTACTTTGCTCTGCTTTAAGCTTTAACTAGTTATAGCCGCTTTCCTCCCCTTTCCACCAGAAAACGTTTCCTTAAAAGTAGACCAGTTTCTTGAAAAATGTCTCTCATCGTTCGACTGTTTTATGAGGCTGAAGTCGCTTCTCATTCTCCAGCTTCTTGTTCGTATTTTCTCGTTCCACCTTAAATTCTGCCTGAGGCGCTGAATGTAAATGCGGCACCGTTTAAAGTGGACCGGGAAAATTCGAAAGAGAAGCGCCTACATCTTTGCGACTTTTAGTGTTTGACAGTCTCTCGTTGCAGATTTAACTTACCAGGAAACCAGCTGCGCTGCTTATAAATGCGAATAAGTCCATTCATCTCCAAATGTTCGTCTTAAATCTGTGCCTTTTCATTCGCTACTAGCCAGGCGAGACTTCGTTGCTAAGTGACCTGCAGTCTGCAGGCCAGTTCTCAGCTGTTGAGAACCAGGGCTTTCGTGCTATGTTGCACACGTCCCGTCTCGAAGATATTTTACTGACACAGAGATCCCACCACTCTCTACAACGAGACCAAAACTGAAGTTATAAAATCACTGAAGAAAACGAGTAGAATAGTTGTAATGTGCAGGTGAGTGGCAGCAGCATCTCATGTGCTCCAAACAGCAGTGAATGAGAGCCTTCGAGGTCACTTGCCACATCACTTCCATTTGATTTATTAATAAAAGATACTGGAAGTAAATGCATTATGGATCATTACAAATACTTTGTTTTAAAACTACCAAATCCTCAGACAGTAGGAAAATAGAAATCCTGCATAACAAAAAAAGATGCATCAAGATGCATCGATAATCGTTTTATAATCTCATTGCAGCCCTCTGAATCGTGAGGTGCCTAGAGATTCCCATCCCCAACATACATACATACACACACACACACACACACACACACACATATATATATATATATGTGTATGTATGTGTGTGTGTGTGTGTATGTATGTATGTATGTATGTATGTTGGGGATGGGAATCTCTAGGCACCTCACGATTTGATTCAGTTACGATTATATCGTCTGACGGTCACAGAGTCTAATACCTCTCTGTGCGAGCAGAGTCTCCTTCACTGCATTTGTTCATCAGCACGGCAGCTACACTTAGCTTATGCCACACATTATTAGCGGGTATCAGAATTTTGGTAACAGTGAATTTTTAAATGATCGTCGTTAAATGTCGTTTAGGATTGAGGATTGGTAATGTATTAATAGTTAGGTTGAAGACCAGCTGCACAAAATGTTTTTTTTTATTTTCCAGTTATTTTTAGTTAGACGGTTAACTAAATTAATAGCTAGTTAGTCTTTTTTTATCATGGAAAACAATAGTGCATCAAAAGCATACAGGCTGAGTTAAGTTCAGTTATAGTCAAGCTACAGAGAGCAGTGCACATTCTCTACAAAACAGTTTTGCTAAATTTAACAAATTGGGAAAAAAGTGTGGCCAGTTCAAACATCACAGCATATTTTTAATTTTTTCCAATATGTTAAATTTAGCAAATAAAAAGAAGTTGTGTACAAAGTTTGTTCCCTGTAGAGGATGTGTTAATTTATTTTAACTTATCTTAACAATAACGTTTCTATCCACAGGCCTAAAAAAACAAACAAGAGAGTCAGTGCTTTCATTCTAATATTATGTTATGCAGTTTCTGATCTGCATTTTGAGACTCTTCTAGTAGGCAAATTTGAGTACAGTGTCAAAGCGTGATCTTAAAAGGCATCACAGACAACTGCTCAGACATTCAGGCCAGCAGACAAAGCCGTGAGGCAAGTGGGCTTGAGCTCAATAAATCACTGCTGTGTACCCGAGACAAGCATGCATTCTAAAAACTTTTCCGCTTTTGTGGTCATAACACGGGGTCTGCCTTGAGAGTTTCCCCCAATCGGTGCATCTTGTCTGACTAATTAGTCTATTAAACATGGATGGCCATATTCTTGCAACCAATTAAGCTATGTGGTTATCAACAAAGTTTATCAGTTTGCGTATCCATGAAAGGTTAGGCACCAGAGGAAATTCATGCCACTCATTCCAGTACTTTGTGGAATAATTATGTTTGCACAGAACAGCTAGCATCTAGTTTGAATTAGCTAAAGCACAGCAAGCACACTGAAGTCACCTGTTTTTTTATACATTTAGTTCAAATGGCATTTTTTATTCACACTTCAATCTATTTTCATATCTGTACTTCCACACTGGACAGACGCTAGCTGTGCTTTGGACTGTTGTCACTGTAACTATGGTTACCGTGTGAGAGAACTGAGTACCTTGTCAAATGCTGTCTGAAAGCATTGCTGACCAGAGCAGTTCTATTCCTTAATACAGTAAACAGAGATGTAAGTGTGGTGGCAAAAGTTAAGTCACCTCCTGAATGAGTTCTTAATACCAGAATCCTATTTCTTTGTCCAAGAAACCATTCTTCTCTGCAGTAAAGCTGGTTAGCTCTCATTTAATAAATGAAATGTAAACAACTCAAGCAGCAACAAAAGTCAACTGGAATAATGACATTTTTCAGACTACTTAAATAGCAGTTCACTCCATGCTGAAACAAAAAACAGCTTTAAAATGATATCTTAAATATCCTATATGTGAACCAGAGCATTACCCACATCACTGACAAGAATATGCAAGAACGGAAGAATTTCACTGCAGCCTAGTCTCACCAGGGAATTCAGACCTAGAAGTAAGTAAAGTTAATCAAAGCCTGCAGGGCTGGTGTGTTCCCATGGTACATTTAGCGTTATCGCTTTCCTCAAAGAAAGTGATTTTTTTTATAAATTCATTAAATAGGCAGGCTTTCTGGTATGCACTTACAGTTACTTAAGTTTAAACAATCACCATTCCACTATACATGGGTATATGTACTGGAAGATTCCACAAATGATTTGACAAGGATTTTGACAGCTTAGGTGACTAATGGAGAAATACAAATGAGGAAGCTGTCTGTACTTAGAAAGAACAAAGACATGTCTGACCATAACAGACTTTTTAGGTGATGGACACATTTACAGATTCCTTCAGAAATAGTGCACTTTGATGAGTCAGATTGACTTAATGCAACTTTGCTGGCAAAAGAATAAATTAGTTCAATCCTGGAAGCTTCCTTGGCGCTGTTTGCCACTCTCCTTACTATGATTTCAGTAAGAAATTTAAATAAAGCTAGAATCAGGCATGCTAGGGTTAAGAAAACACTAAAATATGCAGTGCAGTGGCCCTTCAGAATTGCAAGAAGGCATCCCCTTGGTTACAGTTACTTAACTTGCTCCAAGAGCTAATCTGTACAGTGCTGAAAGTTAGTGAAAACAAAAAGAGAGATATTGTTGATGATGGAGACGTTAGAACAGCAAACCCAGTCGTCCTGGGGTTGTCAATGGTCAAAGCAAAAAACGAAGACCTGAAGAGGGTCGGTGTCCTAAAAATCTGTCCATCATTGGCAGGCTACTGAGTATGTTAATAAAGCACAGACTCAGCATATATTGCTACTTACAATTTAGACAAGGCTACAGTCAGCTTCTTATTCATCAGCTCAAATTCTCCCGCTCCACCTTAAACAGTGCCAAGTATCTCAGTGGCCTGAGTCGCCAAAATATATCTGTTGTACTATTTAAGGCGGAACAGTAAAATTCAGCTTTGTGTGATTTAGTGTGATCGTCTGTCTCCTTTTGTAAACATAACCTGTATAAAATGTGTATCCAATACACATGGACACACACTAGAGGGCCCTATCCACGGCGCCCAGGGAGCAGTTGGGGGATAGGTGCCTTACTCAAAGGCACTTCAGTCACGTCCTGCCAGCTCAGGGGATCAAACTGGCAACCTTCCGGTCACAAGGCTAGCTCCCTAACCTCCAGCCCACAACTGCCCCGAAATGAGCTGTAACTTAAACATTAATACAAAACTCATTTACACTTACCAATCCTCTGATTGAAGATTTTGTCAAAAGTGAGCTCATCTCTCTCTTCCAAGTACTTCTGCATTACACTCCGAATACTGGCAAAAGGAAAACAGAAGAGGGTCATTGTTAAAAATAAGCCAGTCACAAGATAAAACCTTACACAGTCCAATTAGAAGCGGATTCTTGGGCAGCAAAGTCTTGTCTCCTCGCACAGAAACGGACAATTAAAAGTGAATCGTCAGGAACCAGCACCTGGGTCACACCATAACTTATTTTCATCTCAGCACCTGCCCTGTTACAAGCCTTTCCACAACCACTTGTTCTTTACTCTCCATCTTGTCCAGATTTCTTCCCAGTGGAAGGCACTGCCAATGTGCCCTGAGAGAGGGTGTTAATGAGCACCAAGTTTGGGAGAATGAATCAATTAACACCCCCTCCAAGGGTTCATTATCACCCAGCCACGGCTCCACTGAGAATCAGAATGCAGGTCAAGGGAGAGGTATCCCTGACACATTTGTACAGCTGGCTGCTTGGCCAAAGTGGGCAACAGACACTAAAACAGTTCTAAAAGGAGGATTTAAATATAATTTATGCAAAGAAAGAAAAATATATTTTTTTTTAAATGTGGTAGGAAACTGCACTGATTACAATGATATTTCCAGGTTGCTAGGTGCTTGCGGTTGAGTTTGCACTGAACATGTAAAAACATAAAAACTCAAGATTTTTGCAGATTAAAGCTTCCCGTCCTTTGGACACCTTTTCTATGAAACAAAAGAATAGGAATCACAAACTTAGATGTGTGGACTATAATGGATTGCTTTAATTAGCAAATGAAACCATGAGCAGATCTCACACTCAACTCACTGTTTCCTGTTAAGGCAGGGTTAGCCTCAATGAGAGCAGTCTGTGTATCATGAATATCTCTGGTCAGGTATGGAGGCTTTGGTGTGCAAATATTAAAAATGAGTTTAAAGTAAAATCAATTTGTAAGAGTGAGATTTATAAATCATAAGAGCTGAGAAATTCAACTCAACCCAATGCTTGACTGCCTGTAGATGAGTTTGACCAATCAGATCACTACGTGACAACCACAAATACTAAGTCTGGCACCCACTGGTAGTAATATGTTAAGTTGTCTGCATTCATACCTCAAGTCATACACATACATACACATACACACATACATATATACATACATATACATATACATATATATATATATATATATATATATATATATATACATATATACACACACACACACACACACACACACATATATATATATATATATATATATAAACAAATAAATGGATGTCTTCTTACAGAGTATATAGAATATATAGAGAGTCTGTTAACAAAATGAGAAATTAAAATGAGTAAGGATAGGTTTCTATGCAGAACTACATTTCACTCACAGAATCACCACTGATGTTTGCAAATATTCCAGACTTTTGTTTCTAAAGTCAAGATTTTTTTCCAAACAGTTTTCCATACAGTTATACCCTTAAAAATAGCTGCGTTTGAGATGCAGTCTGAATCCCCAATACCAGTCAGGCAAAGACAACTTGATAATGTCCATCTGCAACAAGAGCAGGCCTACAATGTTTCGTTCGGTTCTTGAATTAAGTGACTGAATTCCCCATGCTTCTTAGAATGGGCAAACAGAATTTGGTCAACACAGAAAAAAAATGTGAAATTTTTCAGCACAGAGAATAGCAGGTGCGCCAACCATTTTTCCATGCAGAGTATAGATTAAGTGTTTAATCTACATATTTATAGGCAAGAACAGCTCACTATCACAGTTTTTAAAAAATGTAAATTTCAGTGAGCATGTTTTTCATTAGAAGCTGTTATAAATGAACAATAAATTAATTAGGAACAGTTTAACTGTACAATTATACATGTTTTAAAATTCAAGAGGTCTGTTTTTGCAACCAGGTTTACAAGAGTAGCCTGCTTTGATAAGAACAGACTCCATTTGAAAATAATTTAATGACAGACAGCATCATTTGCATCCTGCATTATACCTGCAGAAAGACACTTCTGTCAAGCAGCGAGAGACTGGCTAAGAGTGAGGTGGGAGATATTCTCATCATGTGCAGTGGACACGTATTGTACACCTTTTCTACTAAGCAAGTGCCCTTCCACATTTACATCTCTTCGCTCCCCGAATTCCTATATGATTCTAAAACACTCCAGTCCCTTACACTCATTTTTACTCTCAAACAATATTGGCAGCATCTCTCAGCCCCTTAAACACTTCCAGTCATGCTGTCAAAATCTCACCTCACTGCCAGTAGGCTAAGCCTCCACCTGTTGAGAATGTAGCAGCGCTGCGCTAGCTCTACAACTCTGCATTCACTCAGCTCTGCCCACAGATGACAAAATGCCTTTCATAACCCAGCCCCTTTTCAACAGCCTGACTTTTTATTCTCTCTAATTCAAACCACTTCTATCGTCCCTGTTTATGATTTACTTTTTCGGGATGATAAAGATAATTACTTACAAGCACACCTGATTACAAACTTTAACACAACTGAAACATGCAACACTGATCTATTATTATTCATATTTATGCTCAAATGTGGCAAATCGTCAATTCTTTTCATCAGACACTTGCTAATTATCTTCAATCACCTCAATATGCACAAGACACAAAGCTAATTTTAAAAGTGATACTTTCAGAAGTAATCTTCTTTTCTTAATAATTACAACAAAAATGTTAATACTGCTAATTGGACAATACAAAATGTGAATTATCCTAGTACAGAGATGTTTTCCCAGTTGTCAAGTTGTGATCATAAAACCCTGTGGTTGGGATGACAGACATTATGCCAGACTTTTTTTTTTTTAAAGAGAAAAAGTACTAATGTGGACAATGATGTCAAAGGCTAATGCTTTTACCCAGTCTGCATTATACTGCCTGCTAATCTCTATGGTAATCCCCAAGAACAGAAAGCTAGAGGGTCACTAAAACAGCCTAATGACAACAGCTAGCCTAGTGCATGTGTGCCTTACTACTTTTTTTGTGTTGCAATAACCCACAACACACAATAACATGCCATATCAGTCTTACTGCAGTGCTGAGGATAATCCACCACCCAAATAATGCTCAGTGTGCCTGGTGTGCTGCATTATTTTCAATGCAATAGCTTTCGCTAAAATTGTTCACGGACAGAACTGTCTGTAATGACTGCGTTTCGTGCAGCATGGACTGAGCGTTTTTCATACAGTGTGATTTTTTATACAGTATAAAAATTGTAGGCTTTGTCTGTATATCATGATCTATTCAAATGTATAGTGTGAGTTAACAAAGAGCAATATTTCTAAAATTGCACCGTATATGTGATGCATACCTATGAAACAAAGCGCTTTTATGACATGGAACAAAGCCTGCTCTACTCCACCGCAATGCTACTCGAACCAAGGTAACTAACGAAGCATGGCTAGCTAAAGCACGTCATTTAAAAATCAGCCTGATTTTAATGACTGAACTGTTACAGTGGTACCTTGCACTCTAACACAACTGTTTAATTCTAAGTAGGACTTGGTATCAAAGAATACTGATATATATATATATATATATATATACACACACATACACACACACGTGCATATATGTACACACACACACGATCCCCTTTGAGAGCAGATATTCCGCTGCAGAAAAGATGCGCTCTGATGGAGCAGACGGGAAAGTGCTGAACGTTTGTGGAAAACTTCTCTAGGAAGTTCTCTATTAACAGTTAAGTTTAAACGATTTTGTGTAAACATTTCATTCAACGGTAACCCTTCATCCAGCTCCCCTGCATCTTCGCATAGAACTACCTCCTGAAACTGTTTGCGAGCGTTCACAAGTATTCACAGAAAACAGAAAACTGTTTACAAACGTTCTCCTGTGTTTGCCGGATTTGAACACACTGGCGGTCTCGACGTTAAGACAGCAATGCAATGTTTGAAACTGTGAACATTATTTGTAAGGTGAATAGCATTGCTGTGAATAATAGTTACTTGCTTCTACATTCTAACCCCATTAATGATTCAAGAGAACAGGCATTTCAAAATAGAAAATGTTACAGCTCAGCTCATAACATGAAGTAAGACTGCTTTTAGCATTCAAATTAGCAAAGCACAGCTAACTTACTGCGATGAATGTTCTTCAAGTGAGTCGTCGTGTTTCATTCTCAGACGCTCTAACATGGAGGATGTGCTCCCATGCCAGCTGAGGTTAGCTTTACAAATACCACAACTGACAACCTTTTTTTTTTCTTTCCTAAGTTAAGCAGGAAATGCTCCCACACTCTTGAGGATTTTGTTCTTGTGGCTGCCGTCTGTATGCAAATATATATGCAATACATATACACACACACACACACACACACACACACACAGCCATAACAAAACTTCATATCTCCATTTGACAATGCCAGCTGTTGTTTAAAATGTATTAACATTTCAGCATGACAGGACCTATGGAAATGCTCCAAAATTCATATTGCATTGACTTGCATTTAACGTTACAAATGTTTTTTTCCTTCTCCTGTAAAGTTATCCTTTCAGAAATACAAGGTTTTGTGCATATACATACATATACATACATACATACATACATACACACACAAACACACACACACACAATCCAATACATCATAAGCTCTGTGCTGTGAAAATCACAAATGGACCCTTAAGATGAAATCAATCTCTCAGTTGATTACAAGCCACTATGGATCCACCTGACAGGCTTTAAAGAGCACTAATAAATATTAAGACTAACTAAAAGCAGGACTCCAAAATACAACAAAAGACTCTGTCTGTATATGATGATCTATTCAAATGTACGGTGCAAGTTAACAAAGAACAATGACATGACATTCTTACATGGCATCCACATTATTTTGTTATTATGATCAGCCATAAAGTATAGTGACATTTATTTAACTTATTTATTTAATTGTTTGTGTTTTTTTGCGAATGTTCAAACTGCACTTGTTCAGTAACATACATGTGAAAAATAATCAAAAATAAAATAATAATAAAAAATATATAAAACACCTGCTAAAATCTTGGCACATTATCTGGCTCTATTGCTAGA